CATGTTTTTGATGCTCACGTGACGTATTATTGATCGGATAGATCAAGTCGCTTATTAACCAATCAAAATGCTGGATGGTGCCCACGTGTCTAAATTACATAGCTCATTTAAATATGTTAATGACAGTTCAGCGACCTCATGGTGAACGCAACACGGAAGAGATTTACCGATAATGTAGTGCGATCTTTTGCCATTTATTTCCATTGGAAAACTGCATGATTTTTTTTTTTAATCAAGAAATTATTTGTTTTCGAAAGACAAATTATTCTTCAATGCTCAGTTTAACACTTTTACGGTGATAAAAGCTCATTGTCTAAAACTTACAAAACACAGACGTATTCAGAAAGAGTATTGACAGAGGTCGCCGCCAGAACAAAAGCAGTTTCATTGCCTGTCTGACATCTTATCACCGCTGAACAATAAATAGGTGTGAATATTTTTAGGCATGTTGTCGAAACAAATGAATAGGATTAGGAACAATGCCATTGGTTGAAACAATGAAGTCAGTCACGGTCTTGTTGAATTGGGGGTGCGGTTAGTAATAGCACAGTCCCTCTATCATGATAGAGGGACTGTGGTAATAGGTACTTTTCAAGTTTTCAATTTTTGTTAAGAACTCTTTAACCCCGAAGCCGGAATTGGGGGTGCGGTTACTATTACGTATGCGGTTTATATTAGGACTTTAACGGTATATTGCATACAAATGTACATTGATATGTTACATTGAATTTATATCAAACTATAAGTGGTTTATAGGCACAATTTAACTCAGCGTACAATTTTTTTTAATTTTCTGCATTTAAAACTGGCCAACGAATGGAGAGCAGTGTTCTTCCCATGATTGACATGACAGGCCTCTTCTGAGGATAAATTAGCTTTATTCACATTGACTACATTGTAATACTACATTGTTTTCCTCAGCTCAACTTGGATAGCCACTTCCAAAACGGAGAGAAATGACAAATCTTGAATTTGTCAGAAAAGTGAGATGTCCTACTGTAACATGTGTACATATATTTCATGGTGGTGAAAGTGACACAAATTATTCTAGCGAAATTGAAATCAAATTGCCATTGGAGACTGACGAAGGGTTAGTGAAAGCGTGGATGGTTGTCCGTCTCCAATGAATTTATAAAGGCATCCCGAGAAAAATGTTATGTCTAAGCTTCATCACAATAGCATATGTTACCCTATCATTGTAATTTTGCTCCATGGTTGAACTCTTTGGATGCCAAAGTAAACTTCATGCACCATCCACAAAATAGTTCCATTTATAGTCTGCGCTTTTCCACATGAAATGTTGTGAACATTTTTGATCAAAAAATAGAAGCAATGTCACATTTTGTGTACTTAGTCCAAAATTAAGATTCAATTCAGTAAAAAATTACAGAAAATGTGAAAGTGAAAAAAACATTTGGGCTCAAAGAGTTGACCAGAATTATACATTATAGAGAAGGAAAACTAAATCCTGCGAATGAATTTCAAAACTAAATTTGCCTCATGACTCGTAAATTTCTTAATTTTACAGACACAAATGCCAGATCCAAAGACATACAAGCAACATTTTGAAAGTAAGCATCCCAAGTCACCCATGCCAGATGAAATAAAAGACATGTAAATACATATGGTGAGTATTTGTTTGTATTCATATGCAAATTAGTTACTGAGTTGCTGCTGATTGATTTGGTTGATAGATATTTAAAATTATCAAATTTACTGTATTTGTTATGATGCATACATGCATGCATAAATAATAAAGGTATGTCTATGTTTATGGAAATTAATAACTTCTCACTTTTTTTCAGATTTTTTTCTGTTTTAACGAGACTCCATGGACTTCACAAAGCTGACACTATTAGATTTCCTTAATGTATGGGTCAAGGACACCTCCCCCCTGGGGTATCTGGGAGGACTATGGGGCTAATCTTGGGATAGCAATATTCAGAAAAGCACAAAGCGATCAGATATTTGCCCATGTAATTTCTTACTAGACCTTGGGACAATAGGGGTATAGAGTATAGGGTAGTGTGGGGATAACAAGGACATAAGATATTTTTGTGTTATCCCAGTGGGTTGGCTTATTCTTTTTACAAATCTTAATGATTTTTCATGTCCCCAGATTCTCAGATGTGGTGAGGGCCAGGGTTTATATTGACTAGCACATAACGATTATACTTAATTATGGTTCGCCAGGGAACATTTAGTATTCTTTCAAACTAAAACCAATGATACCATGTTTGCTCTATTGGTAGTGCATGTACTTACATAACTAAATAGGTGTTTCTATGGTCAAAATACAATATATACATTTTTTGGTTATATGTGTTTCTAATAGAGCAAATATGATATAATAAAGATCAAAAAATTAGGTCAACACTTCCATAATCATGCATGGTGATATGTTATTAAGATCTCGTAGAAATTATGTGAAGCAAAATTGTGTTCAATTCATATTTCTTCTGTCAGTTCCTTTTGCAGAACATCATGGATACAAATTAGTAACCATGGAAACAAATGAAGTTTCCAAACCTGCAATTCTGTTCATGAACACTTCATGAATGAGGTACCGCAGGACATTTCATTATCAATTATATCTTTAATTTCTGGTTTCATAACTGGCAATTCAGTACAAAGTTAATAACGTATATATAATTTCCACATATATCAGATCATGGGAGTGTAACAGCGCCAGCTTGAAGCCATCTTTGTGCATTTTAGGCTTATTCGGTAATAAATATTTTGAGAATTACTGAAAGTGTTTTACATGAAATATTAAAACCTGTTTGAAACAAGGGACAAAGAAAATTGTATGGTTTTAGAGTTTAATTTACAGAAGTTTTGAGACCTAATATGTGAAACAAGTACAACAATGATACAAAAAAAACTAGGTATAAAATGGTATGATGTTTATCAATTTTATGCTCAATACTGTTTTTATTGTACTTGGAATTTATTTACAGTGTGTAGAGTCATCATATAATGTGAACTTATCTAAACTAAACACCAAAGAAACTGAAAGAAATTTCTCTGCTGCGTGTTCTTTTGATTTCAATTGGGTTTTCTGTCAGAAGCCTTACTTCTAAATAGAAAAATAATCTTTCAAACACAATACACATACTTGTATAGCTATGGAATTCAGTATTATTAATAGAGATTTTTTTACTTGGATAGTTAAAAATCATGCGAAATGTGATTTGCATGTTACTACTTTGTCACGATGAATGTTAAGTTCGTAAGTTGACGTATGGTATTAAAATGCAGACCCTGGATGACAGGAAAATGGGGCATTTTCTTTGTAGTAATATAACATGCATAAATTATAACTAATTGGTATTATTCAACTTCAGAGTACATCTGTCTATATTTGTACTGCAACTGTAGCCTTTTGTGGAAATTTAAGTAGTTAAGGTAGAAGCCGACTCATAAATTAAAAAAACTCAGAATTTATTCATTTTTGCAACAAACTGTACTCAAAGGCAATATAGGGATATTGACTTAAAATAAGTTGGGGGTCACCAGCCTTATTTTCGAGATATTGATAGTTTTATTTTAGTGGGAAGTCGCCATTTTGGCACTAACATAATGCTTTTACCATAGGTTCCTATGGCAGAGATATAATGCAATATCTCAAAATCTAGCCTGGTGACATAGGCTGAAAAAATCATATATTGTTAATGAAGGAGTACTTTTTGTTGTTCTGAATTATTTTAAAAATCTGGGTTTTAAAAAGTGTGAAAAAGTGCAATTTTTCTTTAACATTGTGTTCTATGGGATTGTTCTAAAAATAGCGATTTTCAAGAAATATTAGAACACGTTTCTCAAAAAACTTAACTGTAACACACAAAATAATGCTATTTCATTGTACCATGGGACATTAGCTTCATGATTATACATAATAAACTAATGAACATTGTCATGCGATTTATGACCAATTTTGTCAAAAATTGTGAGTAGGCTTCTACCTTAAGGCTACTGGACTTCAGAATACTTCAAAATTGGGAGAAAAAGATTGCTTTGTTTTAGCCATAGTAGAACACACTTCATAGTGACTGTTCTTTCAAAATGATGTGCAAGAAAACATACAGCATACAGTGATGATTTCCATGGTTAGTGTCACCATTTCCTGTCCTTTCTAGGGTCTGGTGATAGAATTGCTGCTTGTCTCCGTATTGTGTTGTACTTTTTTACTCTGATTACATCTACATTCAAGAACTGTTTACTCTTGTGTAATTGTGAATTTGAGCTCGCCATATTCAGCTTATTTTTATTTGTATTCTAATATGCCTAATTTCAGTTGTATGCAATTTCAATAGAGAAATGTCTTCTTTTTTTTTTCCATACTACTTGTATTTACTTAAATAGAATTTTGTGATGTCTTAAAGTCCTAGTATTTACTGATATATATTTTTGTTCTTAGTTTGTTATTGTAGAAGTAGGTGTGTACTTTAATAATAGGACTGATTTTGTAGAAATTCTGAATGGAAATGCAAAAATCAACTTGGATAAGCTTGTTCATTGCTGGGAGGTCCTTGTATGGACTGTACAGGTTACTTGAGATGATAATGTTGTAGCCCCCGATTTCCTTCATTTTTACACTTACACTGTTTATAAAAGGCAAATTTATACAAATTATAAATTCCATAACTATAGTAAAAAAAAATTCAAGATCACTATATGTACTAGTTTCTGTTGTATCAATGACACGTCGTCACCTGCACATATGTCAGATGGCTATAGAGTGTCATTGTTTACAGAAGTCTACCCATGGGCCTTTGCGTTTTTAGTGTGCGATATCGTCATTTGGGACTCAATTCCCGCACGTGCGCAGGTGATGACCCTCCCGCTTTAACTTTTTGCGCCACAATAAATCTTTTTGCATTACGATGTAGTGTCAGATTGGCTTAGAGGGCCCTGTTCATCGTGACAACAACCAAGGTAATGTGCATTTTGAGGATTAATTAATTTAAGTATGCTTTTAATATCTTTGTAATTCATTTCCACACTTTACCAAATATTGGTATTTATGTTTCTCTGATGTGTCAGAATAATGGACTTAAATAGAAAAATCGGTTTTGTCCCAAAAAGTTAGCTTTCTAGTATTGTGCATTTCATTAAAAAAAACATTGCCTTGATACTTTTTTCAAAGTGCAGATGTTATGACATTGCTCAGAAATGTGACTTAATATATAAAATGTATAATCGTGCCCTCTCTTGATGTCCAAAGATGTTGATCAATTTGAATGTCAACGTATCAATTTTCTTCACAATATGTATGATTAGCAAACAATGTCACTGTCATACTTCAATGTTTAATAGAACCGGTTTGTTTACCATCATTTTTATGATGTTCTATTATTCATGATTTGCAAAAAAACGCTTGTGAATTTTTTCCCAGTGTTGATAACTAACACATCATTTGGGGGGAGGCGTGTCAGGTCATTAAGTCAGTTTTAAAAAAAAAAAAAAGACTATTACCGATATAGAACTTCTGTGTTACCTTTAATGTTTGTATAAAGACTGTTTTCAAATTCTCTTTAAATTATTAAATAAAGTTTCAAGGCACACCACAAATATTGGCACATGTACTCTTCTTTGCATTGCCATACTGTCAGAGTTTGTAGACATTGTTTTGAAACAAAAGAATATGGTGGAGACTACTGCTTAACCAGTCTGATAACACAATGTATGGACCATTTCTGGAGCATTTTGATGTACTGACCAGTGATCAAATGCAATCGATTCTCAGTGTGATAGAATGTGTTAGCATAAACAATTGTGCAATATTTAGTTGCATGCTCATTCATTGTGAGAGAACAACTTTGTCTGAAATGACCTGATTAACCAGTAAACGTGGACAGTTGGCAACAAAGAAATTGATCAATTTTGGAGAAAAGTGTTGGTGTATATAGCATGGTATAGAATAAAAATACTGTACAATCCATATTAGAAGTCTCAGCTTCCATGGTATAATGCAACAGAGGGGATGCAACTTCTGTCTTCTTCTGCATCTACACATGAGAATGGTGAATGTTTTGTTCTGAATTGTTGAAAAAGATTGGGTGAGACTGCTGCGAATACATTGCTGCCATTAATTGCTTAAAGCCACAACAGCTGTGATTTTAAACATTTGTTTAAATAACCACATAAAGGTGATCAAAATATTTGTATTTACTCAAATCAAAGACTATAGTCTTCTCTATAGTCTTTGCTCAAATGCATGCACAACGTTTCCCTACACAAGGCTTACGTCGCATAAATTGCAATGTGAAAATTAAGGGTTGAATAGTCGCTAAGTAATGGGAACTATAGAAAAACGCTAACACTTCTGGGAAATGAGGCTTAACCCCTCAAGATTGTGTCATTTTTGACATTTCATCACCACCCCGAGTAAGTTGTCATCTTGTACTGAAAACATGTTTGCTTCACAAAACTGGATTTCAATAGATAGCAGCAGGATTATGTACAGGACTCCAGAGGGCGCTATCTTCCTTCTCCTGCAAGTGATTTAATGTTCAGCATATACTAGTATGCTATGCATTCAGTGTTGACATTTCAGCGATGGTCATTACAAATTTGCACTGACTCCAGAACTGTTTTATTAAAAACAAGTCGTCTGAAGATGACACAGCCCCCACTTGTTAGATGTGATTGTAGTTGGCTATGAATTTTAAAGTTTGAATGTATATGTATAAAATCGGGTAGGAAGTTGAAAATGAACATTACAAGACACATACCCTTATATTGACATATCAAGTAAGTCTATATTAAGTATGGTCTTATTTGGACTAATAATTCACAAGATATTAACAAAAAATATTTAAATTGAAAGTCAATATTGCATAGCACACATCTTATATTGACAGATCAAGTAAGTCTATACAAACTTTGGTCTCATTTGGACAATTAGTTCACAAGATATTATGAAAAATTCAAAATTAATTAAATATGCAAATGAGCTTGTTGATTAAGTTGACTATATTGCATAGCATATCAAGTCTCTACCAAGTTTGGTCTGATTTGGACTATTAGTTCACAAGATATTAAGAATTCAAATTAATATTTAAATATGCAAATGAGCTCATTAATTGATTCCTTGAAAAAATAAATCAATGTGCATCCGTACCGGTGGTCACTCTGTCTTTGTACCAAGTCTCAGCAAAATTTGGATTTTACAGGATTTTGACATTCAAAATGGTCGCCAGGCAGCCATATTTTATCAAATCAGGAAATAAATCCATGTGAATATGTATACCTTTTCACTGTGTCTGTGTACTGAGTATCATTGAAATCAGTCAAGGCATCTCTGAGAAATATGAATGGGCAGACAAAAGCCATGACTAACAATCAAAATAACTGCCAATTTGTATGGGTGGTCCCTTTGTTTTTGTAACAAGTCTCAACAAAATTGGTCAAGCCATCTCCGAGAAATGACGATGGACATACAATGACCAAATTTGACAGAATTTTGACATTAAAATGGCCGCCAGTCATCCATATTTGATAGAATCGGAAAATAAATTGACGTGCACATGTATGGTTGACCACTATGTCTTTGTACCAAGTTTCAAAAAAAAACGGTCCAGCCATCTCCCCGAGAAATCACTCTGGACGGACTGACAAAGGTGAAACTACATGCCCCCCTCTCAGACTTTGTCCAGGTGGGAGCTAAAAAGACATCACACCATGTACCTTGTAAATCAGAACCTTTATTTAAGTCATATACATATAAGTGACTGCAATATATCAGATGAAAGCAAGATATTAGATAAATGCAAACAATATAAAAACACACTATGCTAATGGTTGAATTAACTCAATGAAATATGAATTTGTAAATATTTATATTCCATAATTACTATTCAATGAATGATATGTAGCCTCAGTATGTATTATGGATTGAAAGAAACTGCCATTAATTGAAATATTGACCTAATGTTTTCAAAAATGACCCTGGATATTGACCAAAGTATTGGGGCAGCCAATTTGCAAACTTGCTAGCGGATTGGCTAACTGCTTGGGTTTTGATTAAACAGTTGGCTTTAGAATCTCACTGGCGCCGTCTTGCTGTAATACTGAACCACAAATTGATTCAATTTTTAACAGTGACCAATATTTGACATATTGACCAAAAGGATGATATACTGAGCTTAAAAGAAACATCAAGTCAAACAACAACAACAATCCCTCAAGAAAAAGCTCCACAAAGATATGAAAATGCAATTTACAGTTTTTATATCACTTTTCATCAATTTATGTAGTCAGCCATCTTGATTCTCAAGCAAAGGATTATGGGTAAAGTATGACATTATTTCATCTATACCTTTCATCTAGAGAATGAAAAGTGATATTAAAAAACTGTAAATTGCATGTTCTTGCATTTGTCGAGCTCTTTTATCTGGGAGCATTATGTTGTTAGCCTTGACATTTCCCTTTAAGGTTACACTCCCACTTTGTATTATAGGCAGAACACATCTCACCGATTCTTGTGATCATCATGAAAAATGATAAAATCAGTTGCTATGGTAACAAATCCTGAAATATTATAGTACTGAAACTAGCTTGCATTGAAAATCATGATATCAAATGACCAAATTGTCATTGTTGTAATCACTCAAAACAACTTTATTTTAGAAATCTTTTCTAAATTTGATTTCAGGATTTTGATAACATTTTCCAAATACCCTTTGGTGCTTCACAGAGGTTTTTACAGATCATACAAAGTGGAAATGCAACTATAAAGTTTACATATTGACCCAATATTTTCTATACTGACCCCAGAATTGAAATATTGACCTGTAAGATAATGGGAAGGTATTTATTCTAATAACTACCAATCACTGTAAATTGGTACAATTTTAAAGTCTTGTATAGTCAGCTTGTAAATAGAGACTCAATTTTGGTATATTTCTTCAAGTACACAGGTTGTGACACATGTTAAGAGCAGTTTATTATTATGAGGTTTTACTGCTTACACATTATTCCGAACAAACACCAACAGTTTGTTCTATCAAGACGATTCAAAATATTCACCAAGTACAACCATAGACCCTCTAACAGAGGGTCTATGGTACAACATGATACAATTTCAACTAAATTTGTACATTTAAATAAATAAATTTCTGATTGATGGTATTAAATTATAAACAACCAATGGCATATAAAATAGTAACTGAAAATTAAAATGTTGAAAACAAATATAAGAGCACTAATAATTGAATTCAGATGACACACTGGAATTTACCCCCCCCCCCCCAACAATTTTGACCAAAGACACGCATGTCGTATGAGCATAGCAAATAAATCACTGTGCATACATGTTTAAATAGTAAGATTTTTCTGATCACAACCACAGGTATAAACTTTCATGTCTCACTCCAAAGTGAATGTATGGTTTTCCGATCCCAAACTTTGAACATCTTGAAACACAGTCATTTGATTAAGGGGCAATCCCACCAAATGGTTGTCCAATTTAATACACCTTAGACGCAAATGGCTGTTGAAATCTCGTTGGAAGGAAGAGTATCACAAGACTTGACTTTTTTCTCTCTCGCATAGTACTCCATTCTCTCTGGTTGTCACGTCAACTGTTCCATGACCTATGCAACCATGGACAATGATGGGAGCAAGTGGAACACTATATGAGAAGCAAAAACAAGTTTTGTGGGTATCTCACGGCCATTTGTTTCAAAGTTAATAAAACTTTGTCATCTGTGGGATGGATTCAACCAATCCAATGACATACCATCAAATCTGTATTAGAAGTCGTTTCCCTAATGGAAGTCACACCCATTGTTTTTGAACAATTGAGAACCCAAAAAAATCACAATTTCTCTCTAATAGAAGTTGCATCCCTTGTGTTGTATTGTACCATTTTAATAGAAGATGCAGCTTCTAAATACAGATTTTACAGTAAATCAGGTTGGATATAAAATGCAGGTTTCTGCTTTGAATAGTTTTAAGTTCCATTGTAGCTACATTACAGAGCACACACCATGAAAGTATGTACGAATTCAAAATTCATTGAATGAAAAAAATATGTCGTTAACTTTCAAATGTAATGTGGATGCCTACGTACAATAGAATCAATATGCTTGGAACAAAACTGAAGCTGTCTGAGCAGCATATTTCAGCTAAGTGGATCACCATTGATTGAAACAGACAAGATAGCTAAGCAACCAGCAGGAAACAGACACGGTAGCTAAGCAACCAGCAGGAAACCCAAATTAGATCACAATAACAATTTGTGCGCCTGTCATGATGAAATAAAATCTCATCTTTAAGTACTTTTTTTTATTCAGTGAGACCGGGGATATACTGTTAGAACGGGGGCTAACACTTTATGTCTTGCAATAAACATTACAATATTAAGATATCATTTTCAGAGAACAACTTGTTTACTTGATTCAATTACCTTGGTAACCAAAGTTGTACAGATACCCTTACAGGATCCGACCATGTAATTAACCGTTTGAATGCCATTATTTTAACATTTTAGTATTTTTTTGTCAGTTTCAGACCTTATGGAAATACATTACCATGGTGACAGGTCTTGATCAACATTTTGAAAACATTATAGAATCAAAGAAAAGCTTGGAAAGAACTCCTGTGTGCTGAGAAAGTTGGAGGCATATGAAGTAAAAATGGGAAATATTTGAAATCATTTCAAAATTGAAGAAGCCTGAAGTCTGCTATTTGAGATACACAACATGAAAACTATGTGATCTACAGTATTGGTGTTTATAATATTCACTAAACAGATCATTTGTATTGTCACCAGGCGCCTATTCAAATACATTCACTGGTTCTTGAGATATTGGTGGAAAACCTGAAAAATTATTATCTAAATTAGATACCGGTAATTAGTATATATAGATTTTAACCTGAAACTAATGAGGTCTTTGCATCGTTCACGAGTATCTGTGTAACAAGTCTCATTGTAATGTGATGATGAGTACTTGAGATATGGGCGGAAACACTGCACATTGATTAATTATTAGGCAAATTAGGTAATTAATATGCATGGATTTTAACCCAAGACTGATGAGGTATGTAGATCTTCCAGTAACATTTATTTACAATGTTTAATTGAAATATGATGATTGGTTCTTGAGATGATGATAGAAGAGACATACATACAATGAGGCACACACACATGCAAATTAGGTCATTAATATGCACAGATTTTATATCAAAACTAATTCAGTCTTTGCATTGTCCTATGTACCAAGTTTCATCAAAATGTGATGATTAGTACTTGAAATATCAATGGAAAAGCTGAAAGTTGACTAATTATTGGGTAAATTAGTAATTAATATGCATGGATTTTAACCAAAAACTTATGAGGTATGTGCATCTTCCAATAACATTTATTTACAATGTTTCATTGAAATGTCATGATTGGTTCTTGAGATAATGATGGAAGAGACATACATACAATGAGACAGACAGACAGACAGACAAGGTCACTGCCAAGACTGACACTTGGAGTGAAAAAGTAATGGAGGTTTATTTTGTGAAAGAAGATGAACGTAGGCTTTGATGTTCAAAGGATGAACCATTCACTATGAGATCGATGCATGTCACCCAAGAATAATTTGCATAGCAAGAATAGAATAATCAGCGCATGATTTGCAGCCCATTATTCATCAAATAGATGTAGGTCTTCACCTGCCTAATACTACTGTAAATTATTTTATTATCACTTTTAGAAATTTTCACGATTTAAAGATTTTAGTTGTGAAGACAAAATTTCAAAAAATTTAGTGTCGTAAGACCCAAGAGAAAATTTTCAATGCTACAGAATTTCGCGTTTTTCACAGATTCAAGAAAATTTGTCTCACATGAATTTAAAGCAGTTTACAGGATTATTCATCGTCTAAATTTCAGATGGATGTCTTCTAAATGCCGTAACTGTTGATTAAATCTTGCAGATCTTTGTCTGAATACACGGATGAAGTTCTTGAGGTCAATTTGCTTATCACAGATTTCACACCTGTATTTAAAACAAAAATATATTGTGTTAAGTTGTTAAAGGCGTCATGAAGATTATATAATGTGATCAATCATTTGTGAAGTTGTTCGATGAGGGCTGAACAAAAGCATGTATTGTATATGTAACATGGGACCCATATCGAATACAATGCGACACAATAACACTCTAAAGACAATGGTCATAAATGCAGCACATGTTCAAATTTTATATAAATAATGATTGTATTTTACAGGCGTTGTATACATCACTATGAGGCCCATATCGAACATGAGGCAGCGAGACAACCATGGCCCTTTAATAATTACAACGTAGTAAAAGATTATAGCGGTTCAAATGTATTTTGCAAGAACAATCAACCAATACAATACGAAAATAATTCCTCTGCGTAATAATTAGTTTGTACAAGGTAATAAAGATTCATTGCAACGGCTGTATGAGATTGAGTGTTCTTGAAGTGATACCACACAAAACATGCCAGCATTAGTGGCCCTCTAGTGGCCTAATTCAACAATACTTACATCGTTTGTCTTTATCTGATAAGAACATTGTCACAACATTGAACCGTTGAGCTTTACATAAATTGGACATATACGTGTAACCAAGATCTTCTTCACCTATCCAAAACAATGTGTAATTGAGAATATTATTAAAAAGTCTGACTTGAATATGTAACAAATATAGAATAAGTAATATCAACTGCAATAGATACTGCACATATATATGTATATAACAACTCAGAAATCATGAAATTTGTTTCTATAATTTTGTGACGTACATGTCATGTAGAAACGAAACAGAAATGAGTCATCAGTGTTGTTTCCATGGTAACTTCATGTTATAATACCCTTAATGGCAACAATTTGGGACATTTGAGACACCAAATTATTTATTCATTTTATTAATTTCAAAAATTGAAAAAAAGAAGAATTTAAGGAATGGAGTTGATCATGTAAATAATTTCTTTCCTGAAAAACAGGAATTTCCTTACCTTTATCCACAAAATGTTCAGCAATGGATTTCACTATCATAGTCAACATATCCCCTTCCAATTTATTGCTCAGCACTAGGGAAGGGAGAAAATTGGATTAATATGTTATCTCTATGAATAACATGAACTCACTTCAGGAGGACTATTATTCAATGTATGTTATGATTAATAACAATGGCAACTGTTATGCTGTTTGTGACGTTTTTGGGATTAATTATTGCATGCATCAGAATACATACTTTTGTAATGGTGTTATATGTCACCTGATCACCCGAGTGCATTGATATGTAAAAAGTAGTGCCGTTAGTGTAACTGAAAATGGTGGAATAAGCAAGAAGTTAAATTTGAAAGCTATCTGGTTTCTTTGATGTTTCGTGTGTTCCTGAGTCAACACATCACTTGATTTATGATAATCAAAATATTCCCCACAATTTTGTGAGAACAAGATTAAAACTTTCTCATACCAGAAAGACATCTTAAGATTTCAAGACTTATAGTTAATATTTTCTGTATCTTACTATGTAAGATTTGTATGAAAACAGACAGACAATGGACAAACAGCAATCATTGTATGCTTCTGTCTTCTGCTTTCAAGAGCCAAAAATGGAAGTATTTAGCAATCCATTATTCAATTACAGAATCAAGTTTTCTTACCCTTAGGAAAATCTTCTGGTTTCAGTTGTCTTATTATTTTAGCATAAGCACCTGTGTCTTTTGTCTTCAAAGAATTCCAAGCTTGCAGAAATTCATATGGAGTGGCCTACAACATGCAATTATGTTATTATATGCTTAGATTAAAAGTAACAGAAGATGACAAGTGTCAATTATTAGTAGCAATAGACGGTGGGTAAGAGAATTTTTAGTGGGAGTGAGCTATGTTAGTTGGCAGAGAAGATGACCTCGGGTTGGAATATCCCAGTGTATATCCACCAATAGGAGTATTGACATTTAACAGTGAAAGTGATCCTGAAGTAGACATGTTTCAATTGAAAGTCATTT